TGACGTAAGTTCGTGGAAGTCGATAAGCAAGTAGTTGAAAGTTCTTTGCCTAGAGGTGCCTTGATAGTATCGAAATACTGATACTTCCCATTTGGCATCCATTATTTTTCGGATTGATTGATTTATTTATAGCTTTGGTAACAGTAGACACGAGCAACAACGAGTAAAAGTCTAGCTGTGTGTGAAATTAGAATCGATATTCATAAATTGCGATATTATATAAGTGAAGCTACCGTTTCCTGTAATAAATTAATACTGTTCTAGTTCAGTCATGCACACCCCTGTGCGTGAGCCACATGCCAAAAGGCATTTCTTTAAAATTTATGTCAATATTTTATTCAACCACTCCGAAAACCGATGGAAAAAGAAGCAAGACACTTATCGAATTGATGTATAAATTAAAATATTCATGAATTTAACAATTGCAGAAGCGATGCGTACAGTAGAAAATAGGGAACCAATTGCCAACCCACAAATGTAGAAAAGGTCTCGAAAAAATGAGCAACAACTAAGAGAAATACAAGACTTTGGGAATATCGAGGACGACCTATCTTCTGGGAATTTATATGCAATATAATTTATTGACGATTCCTACGATTGACGCGATTCCTACGATTGATCGAAGAAAAAAGGCCGATATTTGTCGAATTTTAAATAATTCGCTTCAAATTAGACTTTATTCATAAACGCTTGATGTACCCGCGATTGTTACATGTCACATTAAAATAGATGAAAAAAGAATATTTAGACTGAGCATCATATGCAGATTTCTTCAACATCAAATGCCACGACTTTTGATGAAACAATTTAATAATTTAGTAAACTATTTTTGGCTGATGCTTAAATATGTAAATTTGTAAAACATGATTAATTATGATTTGACTATATAACTGCTTCATTCATGGAATCAATTATATAAATAATTAGAAGAAAATTTTGTATAATCTTATTTTTTTAACTTTTGATATGTGATCGCGCTTAAGCAAAAACTGTAAATGACAGTAAAATTTCATATAATAGATCTGGATAGATCTGGACTGCGGATTGATAAAAAAAATAATCAAAATGTTCTTTTTATTTGTTCTCTATCTCCAAGGTGTATCATCTCATATCCTTTTGGAACTTATAAAAAATAAATATGTAATTTTGATATGTAATATATTTTATGTATAATATACATTAACATACACATAACACATTAAAATATAACGCATAATTTCTATTTAAATAAAGCTACGAAATTTACTTCGGTTTGTTCTTTATGCGCCATTTTCCTCAGCAATTGCTTTAAATCGAGATCAAGTTAAATCTCATGATTATAATAATATGATGTATGCCAAATTGGAATATTTCAAATAGAAGAAATAAAAAGAAATTGACGTTTGGCTTGATTGCTGATGATAACCATTTACCTTTCATCGCGCAGCGATACGTTTATCTATTTTTACTGCAGATTTTTTCCATATCAGTCTGACAGTCTGATATCAAAATGTATGTGTCTTATTTGCGTCATCTTTAATATACGACATATCATGCATATCTAAGCTGCGTCGAGGTAGAAGAGACCTAAGGTCGCTGACTTACTTGCGAAGCATATGTCGCGGTATCATATCAAGATGGGGGTTGCCCCATAAATGATCAATCCTTCCGCAAAGGGTTTTGAGGCGTCTTCTTATATGTTATGTGAGGCTTATAATGTACCGAGTTAGTCGAGTCTCCGTGAGAGTAGGTTGAAACTTATTCTCGACGATAATCATTCTTGCACATTCAAGAGACCATGGCCTCCTTTTTATTGTGCTGTGTGAAACACTTAAAAATGCTGATCTAGAGATTCTAAATAACATGTACGACGCTTAATAATAAAATTCTACAAAAATAATAGAAAAAAAAAAAAAAAACATTGTAAAAATATTAATTTGTATTTGTTTTAATCAAGATCAATAAGTACAACAGTTTGTATTATTTGTTTAATATATTTAATTTAAATAAAAAATGCTTTTTTTTCAAAAATTCTCCAATGAGTGGACGATCCTAGATTGTTGGCACAGGTGGCACGATTTTTACATCGCTTATGCGAACTGCCACAAATCGAAGACGAATGCATTATCTCATCGGTACCGGCGCGTTCCAATTCCAGGTCGAGTCTGGGTTATGCTGCCGACAAGAGTGTTCCGCGATATACGACGCGACACCGGCATGACACGAATACACACGCGAGACCGTGGTAGCGAGTTAGAAAGGAAGCAAACGGCCGACCGGCTGACCAACCACGGATACCGCCTTCAGCGGTGGTTGCTTGCCATAAGTCGTGCAGGTCATGCACGACGGGTCAGGAGAGAGAAGTCAGTCATACCGACGCCGTGCTACCATTCGCGTCAGTGATTAGCTAAGCCTGCGAAAGCTCCTTTTCGAGGATACTAAACTCGATCGCTCGCAACGGAAATATATACAAACGGACGCGCGAAGCTGACTTAGACGAAGGGCCGGAAACTCGCGAGAAAGCTCGTGGATGGTGCATACTTGTTATCTTCAGGCAGATTTCTCCGTCACGTGACGACGGGTGGGTAGAGGAAATGAATGGTGTGAAAGTATAAAAATCTGCTTGAAACGGAACTCTGGGCTGGTTAGTTTGTTTTATATAGCGTATTTTCGAGCGATGCGAGTAGCGGGTATATTTGAAGTAGTATAAAAATAGAGGAGACGGAAGAAGAGAGCAGAAAGAAGTTTTATTTTTAGGAGTTTGTATGAAAATAATTATTGTAAAATTTGATTATTTTTATATAGCATAGAAAGTATCAGATGAGATTGATGACAGTAAAATTGATTTTTGATCGTGAGGAAATCTCAATTTTTTTATTTCATTCAATAGTACTCCAATTAATAGTATTCGAATTAAGGCGATTGATAGCACTCTAAAGCTTAGGTAACACTTAGGAGCCTCTTCTGATCGATTATTTGCTTCTGCACGAGTTTTTGGTCAAGTTGGTTAGGCTTATCGGAATACATCAAAGAAGCCTTGTGGGAACTAGCTCTCATCAATGTGAATAGCACTTTAGATGAGAATACTTTTTCGTTTGTTGTTCTTATCTTGAATAGGAACGAAGCAGTTCTTAACTTTGAACTAACCATAAACGATTCATCATAGGAGATTCAGCGATGTAAAATCATGAAGTTGACGAAACCAAATTGTCCTAGTTGTGCAAAAGTTAGTGAGAACGGTTTAACTCTTTAAAGTGTACTATGACTGTAACGATCGAAGGTTGATTTACGAGTTCCACTTACAGAGTACAGCCAATGTGGATGACTTTGTACTACTGAGAGTTATCTGTTTATTTCTTACGTTCTATTTTTTAAAAATAATAGAAATGTTTAATCTTGTTTAAAGTTAGGTACTTTTATTTTGTGGACCACATATAACGTTTATACTTTACAAGTATTTTAAAAAGCTAGAGTGTCAATTATTTAAAAATTTTTAAATATAATTATTATATATCTTGCACTTAATTAAAGCTGTTATTTAAGTTTTTAGCTTATTTTTGTAAGGTTCATGCATAAGTGTTACTTTATATCATTACATAGTTAGTTTTCACGAACTATTAACTATCCTTTACAGTTTTATATTATATTTTAATTCATCTTAATTTAAAAAATTCAAAAATCAATTAAAATTATTATGTTATATATCATTCGCGCAGTGGTTTAATTTTTAATTCCATTAAAACTTATGTATTTGCATACTAACATTATGTTGCATTTTTTTCGAAATAATTTTGTTTTATTTTTGTATAGCTTTGGTGCGGAACGATGCATGATTGCATGGAATCGTTGTGTTCGTCTTTGAATTGGGGTTAGCGTGCCAAGTGAACCTCATTTTCTGGTATTGACCAGATGGTCGGGGTGCCTTACGGCACCGCCATCTTGCAACTATTGGCAGAAGCGTTCCAGCGATTTCCCTTATGACAGATCAGAAAAGCTTATATGAAAAAATTGATTTTATATTTTATTTTATTGTCATTTTGATTGCATTGTTGAATATATCGATGCGTGTTTTGTCTTGTTGAGTCTTGCACGCGCAAGAAAAAAATTAAAAATATATTTCTTCTAACAGGAAAATTGAATATCAAACACGAAAACTTGGTACGATTGTCTAGATTAAATACATTTGTCTTCCCTGATCAAATACAATGGTCACAAGCGAACTTGAGCGGGATAGATTGGCTGGTTGCCAATTCGATCAACGGGTTAAGTCCAGCCACGTGTTTTACTCTTGGCGTTAAAAGCTTGCCAACCATCGGCTATCTCATTCTGCCAGAAGCTTTTTTCTTTACTTTTATTCATTCCATAACCGAGGGTCTTATTCCTATTGTCATCTTTACGTGATAAATCAGTTAGTGTTACATTCTCATTCAGCAATTTGGCATTTTGTAATGATAATAGATGTAAGGTAATAGAGATGTAATTGATTAGTCATCATTGATGCGATTATAAGAACCAAATATCTGACATATTATTTTTCATATTAATTAGAATTATTTTTATATAAGAACAATTTTTAAATTCATAATTTAATATTAATATTAATATTTTGTTAAATTTGAAAATATTAATTAAGAAAAATTTTGAAATTATTGTACAATTTTAATAATTTAATATTTTACAATTTTAATATTTGCACGATTCAATTCTTGTTGAAACAAAAAAACAAAATGTTAGTAAAAAAAGTGTTTATTAACTTTTTAAAAATTTTCTTTTTCAAAAAGATTTATTCTTGTCGATTTTTCTAGTTTCAAATTTTCATTTATCAAAATATAGTGCGACAGAATACTATACTAGTTTGAGTTATTAAAAATCAAATATATTACCAATCTCAGAGTATTTTCTGTTTTGAAATATAAGAATAATTATTCATATTAAACGATTTGTTAACTGCAATTAATTAATATTATTAATATTATTAATATTATCTAAAAAAAGGAGAAAAAATGAGAGTAATAAAAAGCTTATGAATTAGATCATTATTCATGCGTAGCTGGAAGATTAGTTATTAGATTAGTGTGTCAATCTGTTCGTACACCTTCCGTCGACTAATCGGGGTTATCCTACTGCCCCTGCTCCACTCCGTGTTTCATCCCTCCCCCCACGATCCTTCTTCCCCATATACCTGTCTATTGGCCTCTCATGCTCTGCAGTGCTGCCACCAATTGTTTTCTTCAAAAATCAGAAATATAACGTACGGGCGTGAAGAGAGTGGGTTATAGTGGCATGTTGGAACTGACGATAGCATGTTCACGCAAAGAGATTCGATCACTGTGATATCCGGACTTTACGTCCGATACTAAGTCTTTCTCGGTAACCTCATTATTAATTTATCAACTGCGTCATCCGCGATTATACCGTTTATGATGATTCATTTGTTCATCATTGTCCAAGGGTATTTTTTAGCACATGACAACAGATGAAGTCGCGGCCGTGACTTAGCGTTAACGGAATTTCCATTTCGATCGATTCGTGTCATTCTTACGCGTCAGCCTCCCTTCGTTTTTCACGCCGATCAGCCTCTACTTCTATTACACTCAATGCGCTGAAAGCCGTCGTCACCACCCTTTCCCAATTTCCGTACATTGTTGCATCGTACTTTATACAGCGGTGGCGGTGCTGCCATCGCGCGGTAGAATCACCAAGGGGGCGTATCACGCAGAGATGCGAAGGGATGCGGAGGGTGCATCGTGTCGCGCTAAGTGAGTCGGCGTGATCGCGGGACGGAAGTAGGATCGCGTCTCAGCATCAGTGTCGTTGCACCGTGCACGTTGCAGCACGCATCTCTCTTCCTGTCGTAAGGTCACCTCTGATCTTCCTGGTGCCATCCCCTCTCACTCCTCGTGCTCCTCGAACGCGCGCCTCACCCTCTCCCGAAAATCGGATGAGTGGCGTGTGCGAGCCAGGGTGAAAGGGACAGACAAATCAGTCAGTAGTGACGCGTGCATGAGGCTGGGCAATCCGGCGTGCCGGGTTCCGTCCCGGTTACGCGACGACAGGTCCTTAAGCCCTTCGTCGTGGTCATTTTCGCCGCGTTCACAGAGCGTACTACGGATCGGTGATCATAAAGTTGAGAGAAGCAGGAGCCGTGAGTCGGCGCCGACCGAGAGCGAGCGGAAGGTGCGCGGAATCGTCGGCAGGGGCAGTCACGGAGGTCGAGGAGAGGTGGAGTCATCGCGGGCGGCGATCATCGCGGGTTTGAATGGGTGGGCCGGGCGCCGGTAGGGTTACCAGGCACGAGCTGAACGCGGTGCCCCAGAGCCACGTCGGTCACGGGGAACGTGCCCTTGGTGAACCGCCAGCACCAGGCTGCCGTTGTCATCCCCCGGAGCGATCATCTGGCAGCACCACCCGCCACTCCGCCCAGCAGCTGCCACCCTCGCCGCCGCCGCTCACCTCTCTGCATATCGGTAACAACAACGGCACTGCCTGTGCCGTCATCAGCAGCAACAACAACACCACTGTCACCACGAATCCGAGCGACGGTAAAGCCAAGAAGGCGGCCGCCATGTCTTCGCCGCCGAAACATCGCAGGGGCTTCGACCCCAACGACCCGGCGGAATATCACCGCTATCGTCGCGTTAAGACGAAGCAGCGGTGAGTGCTTTCACCTGTGATATCGATATCGATTGTTTCTCTTTCGACCCACTGGAAGGCTGATATTGACAACCGGCTGATATAACGTGCCTAATCCATCCCTTTCTCTTTTTTGTTGACATTTTCCTGATTTTTCAATAATTTATAGTTACAAGTGAAGCGGTGATATTATCTTCGGTAATATCTTATTTTTTTTTTATATTTGTATGTTAACAAGTGAATTTTTGGAATTTTAAAATCTATACATATTTATTAAATTTTTTTCTTAAATAATTTTTTTCTCTTGTACTATAAATTCTTTTTATAGATATTAATGTTACTTTTCTTAAGGACTTTTCTTAATTCTTAGATGACTTAATTATTTATTAATAATCAAGCATTTACTTGCATTTACTATGTTCCACTTGTAACTATTCCTTCCAAGAATGCCGGCTCATTCAAGAGACTGTACACATCAATGTGGAACAGTCGAGTCCGATATCCTTCTTCTCTGTCCGTGCGATCCATCGAGTATTCGTCACTAGATATCTGGAAACGCGGTATTCCCACATGGGGGAATAGAAATGTCACAGGGATATACATGTCCGCCGTGACTCACGTGCCTTGTCGATTTAATATTTCTTATCAATCGATATCCTCATATATATTATCGCATGTATATGTATTTTTTTTTTCCTTATTTTCGGTCGGTTGATAAAATTAGTCGGCCGTATAACGAATACCGATGATGAAGAAAGTCATGAAAACGCGATAGATCGCAAGATGAAGCATGATTAATTATGGAATCCAAATTCTCCCTTATTTTTGAGATATTTTCGTTTCATTATCCTTGTCACGCAGCTTCCATTGATGCCGAATGCACAATGTTCACAGAGGCTTTGTATGTCCCACATCGTGTGACCTTCGGCGACGGACACAGACCTCCCTGAGATCCCCCGACACATCCACCAGCACAAGGCATTATAAAACACACATAAGCTTGCGATGTTCGATGTTGGACCGCTTACTGGTTGTATCCCCGCCGCTACAATGCGACGAAAGTACGATCATATCAATAATAAAAAAGATATATTGTTCCCCGAAAATAAATCCAGCGTCCTTTCTGAAGCACCTTATAATATTAGCATGATATTATCATATTAAGGAGCGATATAGTGAATCCAATATGTAAACATAGTACAAATATATAAGTAAACTAATTTATATATATATATATATATATATAATTATATATTTATATAAATAATTATTATTATATATATATATATATATATATATATATATATATATATAGATACTTGCTTCTTCAATTATTATCAATTTAAAGGCATCAGTGGTGCGTTATTTCGTTCCGAGCATACATTTGCACTGTGAGAACGCGCATGCATGGTCTCATCGAAAGATTGCACGTGAGATGTGACAAGATAATGTTGATGCGAATATGGTAATACATTATTTGTGCGAGTGTACTTTAAAATTAACAGTAACTGTTAGGGTATTAACGCAATATTAAAAATACTATGGTAAAAATAAAACGAAGGTATAAGAAGATTTACAAGCTCTATTTTGAATGACAACTTCATCCCTTATATTATAGTACATATGTATATGTATACTTTGAAAATTTATAACTTCGCCTAGGATCGTATTCAGATGATTTCACTTTGAAGAAAAGTGTTTAATGAATACTGGTTTGTATAAAAATATTGCAATCTTTGTGTGTATGTGTATATAGGTCATTTGTAAAGAATTATTGTGCATAATTTATTTACTGAATATAAATATTCTAAGAATGTGGGAAGAACTAATTGATTATACGATGGATATTTTTAATTAATTAGACTTGGATAATTAGAAACTCTAGACTAATCGATATAAATATAGATAGAAAACTATTACTTGATAAAGCATCTTGAAGCATAGAGATTTAATTGTATGCTACTTTATCAGAGAAATTTTCTTTTTTCTCAAAATTATTTCTCAATATTGTTGTTTTTTATTTTTTTATAATGCATTTTTTTATAATGCATTTTTTTATAATTACTAATATACAAGTGTCAAATTGCGTTATTTTGAAGTGGCGCAAATTTTTCCATTGTTGCTCTTTTTACTAAAACGAAAGTTTACGAATTATTAAAGTTGTACTTGTAAAAAGCGTGAAGTCAACAACAAAATTCAATACTACTTCTACTTGACACTTCAATATAACGTTACGTTGATATTTAAGTATTTTACTAAACATATTCATATTTTACTTGTATGACTCGCTCTCTCTCACTCTCTCTCTC